ATTTAAACTTTACTATATATATATATATATATATATATATATATATATATATTTTTTTTTTACATACTAATTAAATTATTTGAAGACATTGTACCTTTTTGATTTTTTTCTCAATATTTTTTGTAGCAGTAAACTATTCTTATCTATTCCCTTTAATGTATTTAAAACTAGTTTTACCAGGTTGTTTAGAATTAAATTGTTAGTTCATATGAAACAACAGCGTTTTTGTGAAAAATTTTGGGTTTGTGTAGAAAACTATTAAAATATTTCTCTGATAATGAGTGAAATATTTCGTTAAACTTTCATATCACATCAGTTTTATTGAAATCTTTCCAATGACCCGGCATGGCCAGGTGTTTAGGGCGGTCGACCCGCAATCTGTGGGTCACGGATTCGAATCCCCGTTTCACCAAACATGCTCGCTCTTTCAGTTGTGGGGGTGATATAATGTTACGGTCAATCCCACTATTCATTGGTAAAAGAGTAGCCCAAGAGTTGGCAGTGGGTGGTGACGACTAGCTGCCTTCTCTCTAGTCTTACACTGCTAAATTATGGACGGCTAGCACAGATAGCCCTAGAGTAACTTTACACAAAATCTGTAACAAACAAACATAAACAAATCTTTCCAATTTTTAATTTTTTTAAATTATCAGTAGCTTATTCTGTGTGATATCAGTTATAAAATAAATATATATATTAACAGAAGGCATATGTGCTCTATAGACTTCAACTTTTCTTATTACTGAATCCTGTTATTACAAGATATACAATGAACACTACTTTTCCATTGATATTTTTACATCTAAGACAAATCCATCTCATTCATTAAAATTTCAGTGGTTAATCGTTGTATGAACACTGGCTGTTCCCACCTTTGCCTGTTAATTCCAAGAGGATATCGTTGTGCCTGCCCTGATGGTTCCAAACTTCAGAATATAAAACATGTCGCCTGTAATGCAGGTATGTATTTGATATGAATCTTATCTTGTAAGAATCTGTGAAAAGGATGAACTGCTTAAGCTTCAAGCAATCAGTATAATTTGATTATAATCTAAGAAATCTGTGAGAACTTTTAACATAAGCATATAAAGTGTATTTAAACTAAACAAAGATCAGGAAAAATATGACATGAGAAGAAAAGGAAATCAATACTTCTTCCAGAGTTGACTTGGATATCATTAGGCATATCTTCGTATTTGTTCTATTTGAATTGTTTATATTAAGTTTAATTTGTTCTTTAGGATTTTTCAAATACCTTATCACCCAAAGATCAATGTTTAAACATGTTGTAATGCATATTTAAATGCATCATAGAAACATCCCAAGTCATGTTAAATTAGCTAGAATTGACTAAAATCTGATTGATTAAAACTTTCTGCACAAAAGCATAAACATTGAAAGAGTGTCAGTTCATCTGTGTTGGAAATAGGACTTGTTCAAATACTCTGAGTGCTAGAGAGTTTGAGATATATTATAACCTGCAATATAATTTTATGAAATAATAGTTGTAATTAGTTTTAGTTTAAGTATACATTATTAATGCAACATACAGTTCACCACAATATAAAGCATATTCATGTTTTTGTCAATTTCTCTTTGTCCAAAATTGATAGAACTTGGTGACAGGTGGTGATCCTAATAACGTTATCCTAGATTTTTTTTATACACAATATTAGTCTTAAAAGAATAGAATATTTGTAAGAATAACTATGTTTATTCATGAATTATTAACTAGAGACAAAGTTCTGATGAATATCTGCCTAAGAATGTGGTGGAACCTCCTCTGAGATTTATGCAGAAATGTAAAGTCACACACAGTTCACATGATCTAGCTAATAAGAAATAAACATGACACTTATGTCTTGCAGATTCACTCCTGAAGATGATGTGGTAAATGTCAAAACATGTAGAGTCAACAGTTTAGAAATATTTTTAATTGTGTATTGATTTTAATGTTGTGTGTTGTTTATTTATTGTTTTAATATTATACACAAGTGCCAAGAAAATATCTTTTTTACAGAAATGAATAAAAAACCTATAACCCATACACTTTCAAAAGGTGAACCTTTCTCCTTCGAGGGCCAGCTGAAGGTCACCCTTCGAAAGGTTATAGGGTTTTTATTCATTTCTATCAAGACTTCTTGAACCTACGTGTTTTTCTAACATCATGAATGTCTTTTTTTACATATGTTTTCTGTTTGAAAGTTTTCAAATTTCTTCTTAAAGCTAAAGAAATTCCCAAGCCACAGCCAAGTAAATGTCCATGCAGGAATAATGGGTATTGTGAACAGGGTCCTAACAAACTGGTTTGCATCTGTCCTGAAAACTTTAGTGGGAAGTACTGTGAACAAAATGTGCTTCGGGAGCCAGTATCAAAACATTCATCTTCAACAGGTGAAGATACTTTCTGTTTTCTCACAATGTGCTATTTTACTATCTCCTGTTTTTTTGTGTGTGTGTATATGAAATGTACTGTGATTCTAAATTTTTAATTTTTTTGTTTTTTCAGAGTAGTTTAATTTACACCACTGGTTCTCAACCTTTTTCTAAATGAAGATCAGTTACATTCAATTCCAAAATTTCACAGACTGCATTGTACAATATTAACTTTTCAAAGTACTTTTACATTACATTTTAAAACAATATTATTTCTTAGCTTTATTTTGAAATGCACATTTTTCCAACCATCTTGCAGACTGACTGAAATCTCTTGTATACGAACACTGTTCACAGACCAGTGGTTGGAAACGACTGATTTAAACCACATGTGTAAAGCCTGTTTATTATACATTATATAACTTTCAATAATTAAAAATTCATTATAGTATTTGATGTTAATAATTTATGTAAAAACAGAAGTGCTTAAATCAAAGAGGTATTCCAGGAATTATGAGGTTTAACAAATTCACATACATGGAAAAGAATGTTTGGTTATTTTGACTTGCTACCAGATAAACATAATGTTTTCATCATCTAATTGTAAAACCAAGTCCTCCTAATATTCTGTTATATTCAGTTGTTCTCATTTCAATCTAATTCATCACAAAGTCAGTAGAATATTTTGTTATTCAAATCAATTATAAGTTTTGAAGAAGATATTTTTTATATCTGACAGTTCACTGTGTCATCACAGTGTTTTGTTATTTTGATCAATTTCCAGTTCAGTACAATCTTTTGTCAGTATGTCTGATCTCAAAACCATCACAGTGTTTTGTTCTGAATACTTTACAGTGCAATACAATAGCTTTTTCCTATCTGAATTCTCACTAAGTCCATAGAATTTCTGGTTATATTCATATCCACTTCAAGTCAGCTAAATGATTTTCCATTCCAGTCATTATCAAATCCTCAGAATCTTTTGTCAATATATTTAATTTCCAGCTGAGCATAAGGTGCTGCTTATATAACCTACGACCAAGTTATGAGATTGTTCAGTTGAGTTACTCTATCTGGTTGTCACCAAGTTTTGGTGCTCTAACCCTTATTATCGTGTTTTCATTACCTGCTCACCACTAAATCAGTATTGCATTTAGTACATCAGCAAAATCAAGTTAGCAGAATATTATGTGTCTAACACAATAACATACCAGCACATTTTGCTTATCTGATGTTTTACAGATTGCTGTGCTTATTCTACCTACCACCACTTTTGTATAAATACTAAGACTAATTAGTGTTTTGTTTCGCATTATGAGAGTAGTGTATTATATTGTTCTTTTACTGATCAGTTCTTTTAAATTATCTGATGAAAATAACTCAAAGTGAAGTCCAAGTAACAATCACAAATTAGTTTATTTCCTCCTTCAAAATTTCCATAAGCTTGAACACTTGTACACTGTCATAAATTATTGTAGGCCTATTTTATAAAAATGTAATGTCATATTTATATTCTGTGCTTATTCTAGATATTTCTAGGACTTCTTGATCTCAATCTCATGCCTCTGGTTAAAATCTAAATTAAATACAACAGTATAAACATAGCTTTTACATATATTTTGTATGTTCATTCATTGAAGAAAGTGTATGACAGAATAGGTGCATTTAAAATGTCTTTTAGATTAATAGAAAATAAAAAAAAAGTACATTGTTCCATAGCTTATTTGTAGGAATTTGGAAATTATTTTGCTAATATATATATATATATATATTTATTTCTTTTTACAACAAGATTTAGCTGTTATCATTATTCCAATATTTGCAATCCTGATTGTGCTACTGCTGGCCACTGGACTTTACCTGGTCCTACGTAGAAGAAATTTGTAAGTATTTATGTTTGGTTTTTCTCTTCATTGTTTAAATAAATTGAGGCACAAATAATTGCTTAATGATATAGAAAATCAGTATAGTAACTTGAATAGGTCAGCCTTTTTACAATATAGATCATTTTTATTAAATGTAATGAACAATATTTCATAATGATAATGGTACTTATGATACAATTAAACAGTGCCATTGTGAATAATACTTATAAATAATTGTTTCTTTTTATACTTTTTATAATAATTTGTTACAATGAACTCTACAGTTCGTCACCAAGTTTTATGATCTTACTCATCCTATCACATTTTCTTTACCTGCTGAGCACTACATCCATTTGAGAAATCTTGACCAGTTTGCACATTTTGGTACAATACATACCAAGGACTTTTATTAAGATTATTAATGATTGAATTATTTAAGAGTAGTTATTTTGTAGGTTGACATATATATGTTATTTTCATATAAGTAATGTGTTTAAAAATGAAATACATTTTAGAACTATTAGATATATCCTTTAACAAATTTATTAAACACTTTGTGTTGATTATTAAAGTTCTGGTCATTTTAGGCCTTGTAAGGGATTCATTCCCTGCATAAAGTCCCAACAACAGTTAAGATTGTTCAAATGTTAGGAATTATGATTTCTTATCTTATGCTTGTTTTTATGATATTAAAGATAATAGTTTGAATTAAAAGATGTATAATGTTGTATTAATATAACAATGCTATTTTATTCAAGAGGAAGAAAATATTAAAATATAGAGTCTTTATGAAGTTTTCTCCCAGATGGATCAGCTGTAAGCTAGACAGCTTATAATGCCAAAGTTTAGGGTTTGATCCCTCCATTGGGCACAATATAAATAGCCCATTGTGTAGCTGTGTTCTTAACAACAAACTTTCAAACTTTATAAAGTTAGTTGGTCCACTCTTACATTAATAAGTTAAACTAATCTTAAGGGTGCTATAATTTTAGTAAATGAACTCATAAGGTGATGGAGAAAAATAATTTCAGTGCCAAAACTTGTCACCACTGGTGGGTGCACTAATAGGACTCTATAAAACTAGAATCAGATATAACCAAGATTCATTCTGCCTTTAGAAATAGTTGCTAACATTATCTGTGAAGCTAGAATTGCTCATTGAAGGATTACTCAGCAATGGAAATAACACTAGTATAGCATTAAGATCCTGTAAATGTGGAAGTAGTGAATGAAGAGGATCATATAAAGCTGATTGGGTGTTGGCAAAAAAATTAAACGCATGTGCTCGGTACTAATCTCCTGATTTCACCTTAACAGATCTGAAGGATAACATGCGATATCAAGTGCAACTAATCAGTAGGTATGAACAGTAGTTACTTTGAAGATTATCAGTAAAATTGCTATATAAATTTCATGATCAGCACCCCTTGGTGGCAAACTCTTTTGACACTGAAATCTTCCTTCCCATCACAACCTTTGCTCAATTACTAAATTTTATTGTTATTTGAGGATTAGGTTTGAAGTTATAGATGTTAGAATGAACCAAGTAGCTTTTCTGCATACACATGCACAAAGATATATATATGGTTATGATCAAACCTGTTTGAATATTTTAAAGTTCAATTACAATGTCTGGAAATTTATAAGCATGGAAAAAGGAAGGGGTTGCATATTTTTTTTACAATATTGTGTTTATTTGTTATGTATTGTAGTAAACAAGGAGTTTTAGCTGGCAGCAATCAAAGTGTGTCATTCCGAAGTGGAACAAATGTAGAATTTGCACCTAATTTCATGAGAAGTGGTCCCCACGATACAGCTAATGGGGTGAGTATTGTTAAAATACTAAGTAACAATACTTTAGCATATTAACAGTGACCTGATAATAAACTCAATGCTAACCCCATATTAATGAGTGTAAATCTGTAAAATGAGTCTTATAAATGTACTTCAGCTACTGGCTTATTGAAATAAGAGTGTTATAAAGCATACTCTAGTTTAAGTAACATAAGAGAAGTATTAGTAAAGTACAATTGAGTTAGTGTAAACTTCAAAAGGAGTATTATAGAGGATTTTTCAGTGAACTACAAGTGTGTCAGAAAGAACAGATGATACATATCAACTCAATGGGTTCAAAGCTGCTCAAAAACTGATACTGAGAAGGGGTAATCAAACCAAAAAGTTGAAATGGCCATCAGACCATAAACTTGAATTGTTTGTTAACAATTAGTGACAGTTTGTTCGTTGGTAGACAAGAGAATGTCGTAGTCAAGAAATAACTTCTACAGTGAAGTATGGTGTCAGATCAGTAAATGTTTGCACCACATCTCAGCAAATGGTGTCAGTGATATACACAATTGATGGCACTCTGACAAGCCAGGTAGTTTCTGATCCACATGCCATTGTTTCAGGAACATGACTCATCATTTGATGATTCATCTTCCACTAGAACAACGATGTAGCAGATGTAGTGAAATGATATCTTGATGGTAAATAGGCTGACAGAGAATACTCAGTCATGGCTTGATCTATACAATGTCCCATTATAAACATTCTTCAGGCTCTATGGACCAATGTAACAACTATGAATATGAAAAGACAATCAAACAACTTTGTTGAATTGTGGGGTGTAATACAGGACATTTGTAACAATATTCCACAAATCGACATTGACAAAATCTATGGGAGCATGAAATCAATGAGCAAAAGAGCTCTTGTACAAAATACTAGTGCCTTGTAAAACTTATTCATTCTCTTATAAATTTTCTGTAATAGTGTTTCATGCCATTAATAAATTCACCATCTAGTTATCATTACACATTGTTTATAATTGATATTATTTAATTCTACCTTGTTTTGAAAATATTCAAGCAAATCTGTAAAAAGTCATTGGTGTTTATGGAACACAAACTTATGAACCCTTGTAAATAACCCAGTAAAAGAAATGTTATGTATTTTTAAAATACGTTGTTACCATACTTGGCTGTACTAGTGGTTTCTTATGAAAGCATTAGCTAATTAGGAGACTTAAAAAAAACATTTGAAAACAAACTCAAACACAAAAGGACACTGTTATAAAGCACATTCCAGTTAACTGTTAAATAATTACCAGAGGGATCCACATGGACCTCAGTTTTTTAAATACATTTGTTCCATTTGTCTATGTACCCATTTACTTGTAGGTCCATGAGACTGTTTGTTACAGGGTCCCTATTGACAAGACACACACACACACACACACACACACACAC